ATCTCATTTCATTCAAATATTTCATTTGCAACCTCTTTCCCACAAGCACCAATATCTTCTCTGGCCAGGAAGGAGTGGGAAATCTCATTCTTTCTGCTCCATTTTTCCCTCATTTGAGAATTTTAAAATGCCCTGAATTAAAACTAAGCTTCAAACTGAGGCTAATCTGATTACCATTCACTGAAAATGGTGATAATTTTTACCTAGAAAAGCTTAAAGTTTCTTTTCTTTATTTAGAGGATTAATGGTTCAAAAGTCACTAGTGTTTTAGTGGACTTAGGTGCCTGACTATACTGCAACAGTCTTTTAGATTGATTCTGTCTCTATGCCTTTGCCTCTATCAGGAGAAAGACTTTAAAAAAAAAAAAAAAAAAAAAAAAAAAAAAAAAAAAAAAAAAAAAAAAAAAAAGCAAGCTGGGAAAGAAAAAAAGACTTTATTTTACATATTACTGGCTATCTAGAAAAAAAAAAGACATCACAATTCACATGCCTTTAAAACCACTTTCAGCTGTTCTTTTCTGGGAAGAAGAAGGAGAAAACAAAACAAACAAAAAAACCCTCATATATCTGCTATAAGCATATTTGTTCAGAAAAATAAAGAAAGTGCAAGGAATTATAGGACATAAACAACTTAGTTCCAAATACTAGTTATAACTGCCTTGTGTTACTCTTTTTTTTTAAGTGAAAAAAGAGAAAGTATTTACAAAATAACAAACAGGTAGAAAAATTACTTAATATTCCATAGTATCTCACATGCTTAGACTTTCGCATTTAAAAAGTGGCTAAATATGCTAAATAGTGGCTAAAAATAAAATAGAAAATAAGATATTTTAAAGACTAATTCCAGATTTATTTCACTGTGATTAAGGCACACAGTGAAATTAAGGCACATAGTCTCTAACTTGATTACACGGAATTATGTAAAGCTACCATTTTTCATAAATTCTCAGCACTATGGCTCAGGCAAACTACTCTCCTCAATGGTGTCGCTATTAACTCAAAGCTTCAAAGACCTTAACAGAACAGATCTTACCTTAACAGAAAGATTAAATAAACGGTGGATACTGTTAGTCTTAACAGAACTAAACTTCCTGGAATTAAGGAATTAAATTTGTTCTTGATCTTGAGAATTTATGGTCAGTAAAGAATTCCTTCCACAAAGTGATGCCTTCTATTCTATGCAAAAGCATCTCAATAAAACCCATCTGCTATCATGCATAAGATCTTGCAGGCTATCTACCTTTTCCAGATTAACAATCTGTGATTTTTCATATTATTTTAAATTCACATCTTCTCACAGAAACCACAGGCATATTTGATACGAACTCCTGCAACTCTTATTAGGCACTTTAGACACCATCTCCTTTTGCAGCCTTATCGTATCAACACATTAAACAAGTAAAATTATAGTCATTAACTTAAGCTCATTACGCTAAATCATATAATTATTTAAGAACACGTATATTATCCTCAGGCATATTCTCCCTCCAATTTAAAACTCTAATATGGAATTAAGACAGAATACAGAAGCCTACTTGGTTGCTATGATACAAAACATAAATGAGAGCAGATTAAAAATTCCTCAGTGCCAGTTTATAGTGAATAAAAACTGTACCACCATAAATGTGACTACAGCAAGAAAGGGAAGCCTCCCCTCTGAGCAATGAAAAGCGTGTATGGCATTATTTGATAACATCATGAGAACTGTGAAAATATTTATTCTGCCACGACACTGCTATAGATGGCTATAGTGCTGGGGGCCCTTCACCAATCCTAAAATTAAAATGTTAATACTGACAGACATTTTTCCCCCCATTATAATATTTTAAACAAAGAAAGCATTAATAGCTTTAATGATCAGACATCTGAGTCATCACTCAATCTAGACACCATGCAACCATTATATCAAAACTATCCTGTGTAGCATGAACCCTTTGAACACTTTAAATTAGCCTGAATAAATTCCTTCCCTTCCCCAAAGGATTTCCTATTGTAAACATATGCTCAGTCACAAACTCAGCATTTTTTGGAATTTGCTTTTCCCAAGCTCAGTTTAAAAGTTTAAAGCACAATCACTAAAAAACCAACACTTCAAATGTACCTATTTTTATTTTCTAGATTTTATATTACTTCAAATTGTTGTTATCCCTTGTTACAAACTAATAAAAAAAAAGTAAGCCTGGAAAATAGTTGCCAATTTCTTGAAAGGGAAAAAAAAAAAAAAAAAAAAAAAAAAGAATTGTATATTCCAACCTCTGATGAGTTACTAATATTATTACAGCTATCAAAGATTTCAGTCTCTCAAAATAGTTTTCTCTCATATTTTGAGAAAAAAAAAAAAGGAAAGAGAGTCTTATATGGTGAAATTTTAGAATATGGTTTGCAAGACTTTCAGTGTAACACTCTGCTCTGAAATATTGACAAGATATACTTCTACTATAGCTGTAGAGCTCATTCGTTTGCTGGCATTGTGTTTCTCGGACTATGTAGAATCGTTGGATAAAATAATCACTGAATAAAAGGGAATATCCTTCAATTTTCAGTGTTACGCTGCAACCATTCTCTTAGTTTAGTCAAAGAGATATTTAGGGGGCAATTAGAAGCTTACTGTTAGAAATAAAGTATTTGATGTCAAAAATTTATTATTCCCAGGATATATGTATAAAATGTTAGAAAATACAGAGATTGCTATGAACTAGAAGAGGAAAGTGAACTTTTTTTTCAGAAAAGCAAAGTTCCCTTGTCACTAAAACACAAGAGAAAAACCCAAAACTTCATTTAAGTGCCTTTTTTTAAGTTTGTAGTGTTACTTTCGCTGTATGTTTGTAGGCAAGAAAACCAAATTTTGTATGCTCTTAAACAAAAGCTTAAGCAACAGAAATCAGAAATTTGGTGACAAGAAGAACCCAAAACATGACTTTTCTTTTTGCTAAAAATCTAACTGGAGTGATTGCCCGATCTAGAAAACAAGATACGATCTGTTCTAAATGGAATGGCATGTATGAGAATAATGTTGATGTTATGGTTAGAGAAGCATTTCTTTTTACGGTAATAGTATATTCTAAACATTTCCCTTTTATTAAAAAAACGCCTTCAGAGGTTAATGTTCACAAGGCAGAAAATATTCTGGAGAGGTGCATGGCATCCAAACTCTCTTCTAACACATTCCATCCAAATAAAAACACAACAAACCATTGTGCAGATTTGTTTGAAGAGTAAATAAAAATTCTTCAGAGCACTTTCTTTCACCACAGTTCCACTCAACTGCTTGCGAGGAAACCTGAACACGGGCTGGGAGCTTCTGTCTGTAAACACCATTGGCATGTCAGGAGATTCCTCCCTTCCCTCCCCCAGCCTCACGAAACCTCTCCTTAAATTACATTCAGATTTCTGTGGTACCGTAACAACTTCAATATGGCATCTATTTCAGTATTTTGTAAAAGTTGCACTTCCATTTCCACCTCCAGTTATTGCAGGTTTACGTTTTTCATCCTAGCTGCTCTGTAGGATGCACGTCTTTTCCATATTTACATGAGATGTCTTACAGCTTAACATGGAATATTGTGATCAATGCCACACTGAGATATATATTAAAGTGATATCTGGTATCATAGGGCATGCAACAGACTTATCCATGTTGTGTCAGAACATGTGTCACAGCAATGCAAATCCTGATGGCAAAATAAAAATGAGTCATGAAAAAAATGTTTTTAGGGGCTTTGAGGAGATTCCTATGAGCCTTCTTTCACTCCCATTCATGTGAATGAAGACTCTCAGTTGCACAGTTTGATTTTCAAGTTTAAATGAGCCAAAAAGCTAAAACAAATCTCATCCAAACTGTTTTGCTTTGACTGCTATGGGTCAAATCATGAAAAACACTGACACTTTTTTTCTTTTTTCCCCAGTTGAAACTGTAGATGATCGTAGGTTGACTTGGAACCCAGCAGAGGCTTTCTAAGAGGCTTTCACAAAGCATTTCAGATGTTCTGGGTATGTATTGGAATTTGGATTTGCTATTCATTGCAAAAACTCAGTGAAGAGTATGAAAACTGAAGTGTATTTAGATTGCTATCGTTTAATTATATGCAATCCATTTGTAAGAAGAGCTATGTAGTATACTTTAAAATTCAGATGCCTCAAAGAAGTCTTGTTGAAAGGTAAAAATGTCACCAGAGTTTACTTCAGTTCTTATTATGGCACACTGTCTCTAAGTATTCTAGTCCGCAATCCGGCAGAAAAAGGTGTACTTGAAAACAAATGGAGGTTCACTGTAGTTCCTATAAATTCAGAACACTCCTTAATTCTACGAAAGCAGCGTAGTTGAACCATGGTCCTCGTTTCAGGATAGAATACAACACTGTCTTTCTTTACAAAGGGAATTCTACACACACTCTCCCACACTCATACTCATTAAATCAGAGCAGAATTTGCAAGATATCTACACAATGTAAGACTATACGGCACATGGTTGGGAGAATATTGGCATGTTATCTATTCACAGTATTTTCTTTGTATATCTTTCATTCATATTATAAACCAATATGCAAACAGTGAAGATGCTGTGTGGCAAAAGTTTAACTAACAGATTCAGTACAATATACTACTGTGAATATGAGTCTATATATTATGGTATTTATACAGTGTGTATATTATGTAGCATATTATATTAGTGTCGTTAACAAAAATTGGAACTATTCTGCTATTGATAACAACGAGACAGCTGCTAAAATGGCAAAACTTTGTAAATGGGATATCCATATTACGCTTTGATAAGCAAGGCTTGGAAGTTAACAGGAAGTTAAATGGTATAAGTCATGTCTTCAGATGAACCATCCTATGATTTCACAGTAAAATACGAGTAGATTCATCAAACCTACTTGGTAAACCTACTAAATCCCTTCAAAGAACAGTCTTTAACCGAGTAAATACAAAACATGTAAATTTAAGAGCTTCAATAATTTTAAATGAACACTCTCCCCGCAACTTCTATAGGTTCTTACCAGGTCTTCTGTATCTTGTGCTAATGGCAAAAATGTAGCTTCCAGAACAGCAATTTGATCAGCGCTGAGCTTCTGCCACAGACTAATCAGCATAACCACCAGATGGGTGGCACTTTTCAACTTCGTAAATGCCTGGAACACATTGGCTTGGTTTTCCTCTACTGCATCTGCTAGAGCTATTACCTGCAAAAATTACAAACTTCTGTTAGATATAATTTTACCATGCTTGAACATTCGACACTGAAATTGCATTTGGCACATCCTTGTTTTCCTTTAGAAGATCCTGATAGAATTCCATTTTCCACAAACACAAGCCACAGAGACTATTAAATGAGTTATTATTTATCTATACTATTCCTTTGCCTAGCCAAGGTAATTTCAAGTCCATATGGCAATAGGATGAATCTATTCCTGCAATCAACGCAGAAAGGACTCTGTTTAGTGCATATTCTATTAGGCATTCCTCAGGTTGATCCGCTTCACAGCACATAATATATGATAATAAACTGTAACTTTCATTTTTATACCACACATGATGCTAATCCTTATATGACCAGCAAGTCTGTTGCATTAATCAAAAACAATACATTGATTTTATTCCATTAAAAATATAATTTATAATTATTTCCATATGAGCATAAGTACCATCTCTTATTAACTCTTGGGTCTCTCTCTGTTTTGCACTAGTTGCTTCAGTATTTGTGCCAATTGTAAACACTGTGGATCATGTTTATGAAGTCAATACCACTTCAATATCACTGCTGAACACTATGAAAGGTGTTCCAAAACAAAATATCTTTCAAAATAAAATAGTAGATTCCCTTCTTGTGAGGTGGTAGGACCTCTTTACTGAGTGCTTCAAGATGATGAAAAAACAGAAAAGCTATTATGAGATATTTTACTTGTTTCAGAAATGAGTAAATGATTTTTTTTCATTATAGACAATATCATCCACTCACAACAATATAAAAAAGTGACATTTGAAAAATATTGCTAAAAATCTTCCTTGAAATAAAATGTTCAGACATTTTCCATAAATAAAAAAAAATGACGACAGTGATTTCATTACTCAGTTGTTATCAATTCAGTAGGCCAACATCAGATTTTTCATGCTACTTACACTGAATTATTTTAGCTAAATTAATAGAACAAAGGTTAGTGGTTTGTAATGGGGTCTGAGCACAACTTGTAACTTGTTCTCATTAATGCCACTAGATCTTCTTGTAACTCAAATTATTCTTGGCTTGCAGCAGTGCTGATTATCTCCACTGCCCTTTAAATCAACACAAAGCACTTCCCTTAACCACTTTCTCCTGTTTATTTATCTACAAAATGGGGTAATAGGTACTTGACTAGAGTTGTGAAAGGCCTTACAAAAATGCAGTTAAAGTGTAATTAGTATTACAACAGAATTTACAAAGTAAACCTTGCAGAGCTTGATCCATTAACATTTGGCAACAGCATGGAAGTGAAAATACTATACAATGCATCTTCAGCCTGGAAACAAAGCCAACCAGCTGTTAGTATTTGGTGAAGGAAAACTATTTTTAATCTGCAGCACTGGCATTGGAGATGTGTGCATGTTCCCTCCAGGTTCCCATGTGACTGGGAAGATAAAGGCTGAGAGAATTTTAGGGAACCATAAATATGGAGCCTTTCAAACAAAATGTGTTGATAGCTTTTGTTTTAGATTTTAAAATGCAGTGTTTCCAAACAAGACAGAGAACCCACAGGACACCTCTCAGTCTAAATCCAAGAGAGCCAAGTAACAAAAGAAAGGCCCAACTACACAGACTAAAGAAAGAACTCTGCTTAAAAATTATTAAGAAATTCATCCCAAACAGAGACAGCTGACACGACATGCATTGAAATTGGGTACAGGAAAGCCAAAGTATCGCAGACATGAGTCAGTGAGTCAAAAACATGAGACCTGGTGTAAACATGCCCACATTCACTTTGTGTATCTCAAAGTCGTGACGTTCTTCATGCCCTGCACACTAAATAAAGTACTATTCCCACAATTACAGCTTATATCCAACACGGAGTTATGGATGGCAGAGAGGCCCTTACTTGTATGCACTACGCATCTTCGTCGTTCTGAGAAGATACAAACTACAACAGCAGATGGGTTCTCTCTGCCCTCTCATGGGGCTCTTAGAAAAGCTAAATAATCACCTTTCCTGCTCAATACGCATTTGAGATTTCTGGTAATAACAGTATGCCAAGAAGAATTTAACACACTGATGATGTTCAAGAGTATGCTTCCCTTAATACCATTGCTGGATAGGAAAGTGGAATGAATATATTCAAAAGCTCTTGGAGTTTACAATTAAGCTGTATCCTAATCTGGACTGGTAAAAGTAACCCTGAAGACACTGGCGAGAGATACAGTGCATGCTTCCTAAAAAGCTCCATCTAAAAAGTTATATTGTCACCTTTTGTACAAAATTGTACTGTTCTAAATGGCACCAGTTACAAAACAAATCTTACATCCTCATCTACATTACATGTAGATAAGAAATCTTTACATAACTGCAAATATAAAGTTCCAATTTACCGTTACAGAGAAATCAAGGAAAAACTGTTTTAAAGTGCAAATTATTCTGTTTATGGATTGGCCACATCTAGCTTCACCATTACATTAAACACTTCCCAAGCCATCAGCTATAAGTTTTAGAAATGTCTTCACATCTTTATTCAAACATTTGCAGAATTTAAGGAAGAATAACATCTAAAATATTTTTCACATTTTTATTTTCACATGACCATTACCTCCAATAATACTTTACAGTAGGTGAGGGAAGTAACTGTCTTCGCAGACTAAGATCTGAGTCTCCTCAGATCCAGTCATGTTTTCTCCATAATTTACCAACTCTGCTTATGTTTTTCATGGCAGTTGTTCAGCCTGTTTAATTAGGATCTCTTATATTACCTTTGTAAACAGATATAAAATAACAAAGAAAGGAATTTTCTCCCTGTGTATTATATTTCTTCACAGGGCACATGAAAAAAACATTCCAACTGTCAGCTTCAAATGTAGAGTAGATACAAAGATTTTAGTTAAATTAGAAACAATCAAGTATAAAGTCTACCTACACAGCATAAGGCTTATAATTACCAGTTCAACTTTTTCCTTTCTCCTTGTTTCTTAATATCAGAAAAGCTTTCAAACAAAAGAAGGTTTAAGAAGGAAGTTTCACAAACCTCCATTCTTAAAGCATTGGAAGAGAGGAAAGTGGCTGTCACAGAAAAAAAACCCAAAAACCTAAGAGCTCCTGGAATAGGCTGCAAGTATATTTTTCAACCAGCCAAACTTAATTTTCATTTATGCCCTCTTTGTCTAATTTTTCCTAGCTGACCAAATTCTCACTCTGTTCCAATACACTTACCTACAGAAAAGTAGAGGCCAGTGAAAGAATTAAGGGAAGCGTGTTGTAAAAACAAAAGCAAAAAGAGCTAGAGAACAGCTACTCTCTAATTTGAGAGTATATGTTTAGCAGATTTCTATCAAATTTCGTATTTGCAGTTGGCAAAGGTAGAAGTGAAATCCAGAAGTGTTTTCATAATCTCTTGAGATTATTCCATCAACACTAATACCAAGATGTGACTGCAATAATTTCCAAGTACAGTACATTTCTCACGTTTTCAACATAAAGTGTTCAAGCAGACAGATATTTCTCTTAATTCATTGCAAAGTAGACATTATAAGATGTGAAGCATTTAGAAACTGTAAACTAATGGTGATTCAAGTTCAAAAAAAAAAAAATTACACAGATTTCTCCACTGGTGCTTACATTAAAGTATTTTTAGTGCAGTGTTTAGCATCCAGCAATAACTATTCAAAATTACTAATCTCTTTTGAAAAATTCTTACAACATATCCACTTTTCCATCTTTTGCATGTTCAGAGAAGTTGCTTGGCACTATAATGAACATTATTCTCCTAGGTTCACTCCTATTGGAAAAATACAACATGTATTCTTATGAGTTGACTAGGAAGTTTAGGAAAACTTTTCTTTTAAAAGTGAAGGGTAAGAAATGAGTGTGAAGTTCCATCCAGCTCTCTTTTGAGGCAGTAGTGTATTTTTCTGGAGTCCTTAACACCGCAGGGACCAAAGGCTCGCACAGGTTTTATGCCAAATTCTAAAATGGAGAACAGGAAACGGAAAAAAGCAGATACGACTGACAATTTGTTTGCTTTTCACAACATCCAAGAAAAACATAACTGTTCACCACTGGTGAAACTTTAGTCAAGCTAGCCTTAGTCTCCTCATTTTCTATCATACTGTGCTCAACTTCTAGTTTTTAATGGAAACTAAATTTGAAGAGAGCAAAAAGTCTGAAATTTAAGGGATACGGAATTTCTTCTGTATAGCATTCAGGAGGAAGTCTCCCACATGAAATTCTCGAAGTATAAAAAGCTGGATCAGAGGTATAATTATTCTGAAACAGACAGGGATAATGAATTAGCAAGACAATTATTATGTACTGCACAGTAAATTACTCCATAATAATATTACAACCTCTTTACCTTGTTTCAAAAGATAAAGCAATTCTGTACACAGAAATAGTTATACAACACAGTTATACAGTGATCATGAGCTCACAGCTCTCCTGTGGTAATTGTTCATAGCTTAATATACCATAATTTATGGCAAAGTACTTAATTGATCCAATCCCTTCCAGCTATTTTTAAACACAATTAGAGCCTCATAAAATGAGATATTAATGAATGCAAAGCACAAAAATTGAGAAAACTCCTAGGATTACCGCTTGTTCATTCATATTGTAACAGAATTATTATTCTGATTTACTCTTTGCCGTATCCATTGACTGTAGAGAGGGAAATATAATTTAGTTGCTAAGTCTGTAAAAAGATATAACACAGTATATTTCCTCATTGTTTTAAGAAGTCTCCATCACACATCTTAACTCACGTAGAACAAATAAGCATTTAAAGTCACCAAACATTTTTTCCCCTTTCAAGCTCTTTTGTTCAACTGGCATGCAACCACACACAAAAGGTAAGACACTAGTAAAGCAAATCTTTAGGATAGATAAGACAACACACTTGCTGATAATATCTACTTAATTAATAAAACGCTGAAAATTCTTTATCTGAGAGTAAAATATCTTTTTATGGACATTCTCAAAGTAGTTTTCAAAGGACCTAAATGGTTTCTA